AGTAATTATTACTAAAACAATCATAGTTTTTTCTCAACTATTTTTGAGATATTTATGTGTTCTGTTTAACAAGTAATATACTCTTCTTTTAATAAAACTCTTGTTTTAATAAAACATACTTTTAACTTCCTGCTTCAAGATTAACTGGTCAAACATGAGAAACTCAAAATATCAGGTTATGCTACTTACAGGATCTTAATCTTCCCCTTATTTTTAGCAACATCTCTGATTTTTAGTTCCCAATTTCTCAAAATAGAAGCATTTCTTTCAAAGAAAGAAAACATTCCTCCTAAACTATACAAACCACTATTACTAAACACTAGTAATCCCAATTATTTCTGAGTATTCAAGTGCCTTCTAATAGTACAGTTGCTTCTTTAATCAAAGTAGTAAACACATTTCCTTGTCCTAAAATTATAGCTACAATGAAAACCTCATTGCTCACGTCAAAGCACTGCTGATGATTCATATTTAATCTACACTTTCTATAATCTCTCTGAATTAATACAGCAGAGCTTATGAATACCATAAAATATGGGGTCCCTAATATAGCCAACTGGCCTACTATGATCTTATATTAAAGTTAAAAGAATTTTTAATGTGAATATTTTATACCACTATTCTTTTTTCAAAGGCATTTGTGTTTCCCTTCATTTTTCTAAAAGTACGATATTAGTAAAACAACAAATTTGACTGGATCTATACTGTCGGAACTCAACCAAGAATTAGAAGTGCAAGTTGCAGCGCTCCAAAATCTTGCGACTATAGACTATCCGCTGTTAAAAGAACATATGGGATGTGAACAGTTCCCAGGAATGTGTTGTTTTAATATGTCTGATTTTTCTCAAACTATTCAAATTCAGTTAGACAATATCCATCATATCATTGATAAGTTTTCACAAATGCCTAGGGTGCCTAACTGGTTTTCTTGGTTTCACTGGATATGGCTGGTAATTGTAGGTCTGCTTTGGTTATGTAGCTGTATTCCTATTATGTTAATGTGTGCACGCAATTTAATTAGTAGTTTAAAACCTATACATGCTTATGTTACACTACAAGAAGATAT